ATCTGCACATTTTGGGCTGTGGTGCCTGTGTATCTATCTTTGCCTGTCTGGTCTCCAGTTGGTGGAACTACCTTCTTTGTACCTGCCACCGCTCAGCATCTTTGAAATTTGACACAATGTTGCTTCATTCCAGCTGTTTTTAGTTCTGTAACTCGTTGATTGTATTTAACTATGTGAGTTCTGTTGTGATGTTTGCTGTATTGTAAAGCCCCTGCGCCATGTGGTGGGTGCTCTGTAAATCAATAAATGATGACTTAGAGGCTGTATCACGAGCTATTTTGGTTTTAGGATGCAGGTCTCAAAAGCAACTTTGTGGGATTATTTCTAAACAGCACATGATACCAAAAGGTCCACCAGAGAATCTTGAAAAAGAATTCTTCAAACTGCATTTAAAGGAGGAAACGGGGTGGGAAGTTGACTTCCAACCTGATGTAACAGTCTTAAAACTTCTGGTAGGGGGCCAAGCACTCTTCCTCACCAGCGCTCTGTGCCTGCTGACTTAGGGCGTTTTGAGGGATTTCCTCTTTAGCCGGAACTGGCTCTACCGCAGACATAATGAGCCAGAAGGCGAAGAACCCGGACTCGGAAGGGAAGCGGGCCAGACTGCAGGCACCATCTCAAGTGCCACCGACCCTTCTCTGCACAGACGGGCAGAGGTGGCCTGGATACCTGCCCAGGGTCACTGAGTCAGTTAGGGGCAAAAAAAGGCAAGACTGAGTACTTTTTCCTTCCTTCCTTCTTTCTTTTCTCTCCCTAACAGGACACCGCTGTCCAGCCTTCCACCCTGCACCCTCACGCACAGCTCCGACACAGCGGGGAGGGCGTGTTCTCTGGGACCTGCGCTGCCTGTGGCTGTGAAGGCCTCCTCCTTCCAGAGAAAAGGAGAAGCCAAATCTCTAATCAGAACTGAGTTAGAGACAAGAAAGTCCTTGAGAGCAGATTGGAGATTGTTATCAAAATCGAATTTTCCTGATAAATACATTTGCGATAAATTATAAAAGAGTCCAGATGATGTCCCTGAACCTTAGATGCCAGTTTTATGCACAGTCATCTGCCCAGGGTTTTAGTAACAAGCAGCTTCAAGTGCAAAGAAACAGTGTTGGACTAGGTCTGTTGTGAGCAAGGCTGTTGGCTTGAAGGAAGGAACCCTGATTTTCCCCCTCACCCTCAGAAAGACAGGCCTTCCCAGAGGACTGCAAACCCCAGCAGGAATACAGTTTGCAGAGCAAATTATTTTCAGGATAAGGTATTTTTGGTTATTCAATTTCAGATGTGTGTAACATGAATGCCAGGGTAGGGTTAGGGTTTTGGTTTTGTTTTGTTTCACTGGACCAGCATGTCCCACAGAGCCGTAGTGAGATGAGAAAAGATGTGAATCCTACCCACACTGGCAGAATAAACCACAGGAGAAGAAAAAGACTTTCACAAAAAAGCAGACCGCTCTTAGACCAAGGTTCCACATAGAAAGTCCTAGGCAAGACTCGATTTTTCTCCCTTCGCAGCAGTATCCCGTTAGGAATAAGCGTGGTCGTGCTTTGTGTTCACAGCAGCATCTCCTCCATTCCTAAGGAACCCCAGAGATCCCTTTCCTATTTCTTGAGCTTCTGCTTCGAGGTAGGCTTGCGCAGGTGTGTCTCCTAAGGGTCCTAGCCCCTTTCTTACAAGGATCTTCCAAAGTAACGCTTTCTCACACGGAAACACGTGCAGGTCAGTGTCAAAACCGTAGAGCAAGTAAGCTTCACGGCTGGAATTGTGTTCCACAACCTCCTGTACCAGGTGCTGCCACCCCTTGCGTCAGGTCACACAGACCATGCACACATGAAGGCCGGTACTCGAGCCCAATTCAGTGGATTCCGAGAGATCCTGTCCCTTCCCCTTTACCGCGACAGGGAGCTGCTCCCCCAGGAAAAGCCTGATCCCGCGTGCCCTTAAGGCCTCAGCATTTCCCGTTCACGCGCCTCCTACTCCCTGTCCCAGACAACTCCACACCAAGTTCCTCTTCGTCTGAGCAAAAGCTGAGCCAGGTCTACGGTGAGCCGGGTTCTAGGGCTGAGTTTTTTAGACTGTCTCTCTCTCTCCGATCATTCTAGTGTTGGGAGCGCCCCGGAGCCTGGGGGCTGTTGGAGTTCGACTGCCCAGTGCTAGCGTGGCTTTGTGTCCCGGGCTCTGCCACGAGGGCCTCTCCGTGGCTCAGGGCTTTCAAGCCAGTTAGGAATCCAGAAGGAGGGCAGAAGACAAAGGCCCAGGATCGGGGTCTATTCCGGGTCCTCCTAACAGGACCGTGCGTGCGTCGTGGAGGGCTACCCAAGGGAGGCCTGAGGAGGAGGTACTCCAGCCCCTGAGTGGGTTTCCATTCGGCTGTGGGCGTCTGGTCCCAGCCAGCTGGAAGGGCCCAAATTTGTTTCTTCCCGCACGTGTGCTGCTGTCCCTGGTTTTCGTCACGTTCTCACAGGGGTCCTGACCCTCCGAACCCTTAAGAGCGTGCTGAGACAGCCGTGGAGTCGCAATGGGAGCACGATGCTTGCAGGCCCCAGCCTGTGCCAACACAGCACATCAGCTGCCGGGCCGGACTCACACCCTGTTATCCTGACTGCCGCCGTAGCTCACTTGGCCGCAACCACGCCTCGAACGCCGAGTACCCGCCGTGTCATGTGCCAGGCTGATGCTGGTGAGACCGGGGAAGTGGTCTGTTGCCAAACAGGCATCAGCTATGATGCTGTTTCCCAGACACTCCCCTCATTCCTTGGCCAGGACCCAGCACGTGTCTGTAGGGCACGCTCAAATGGCCACTGCTGCTTGTGGCCGAAGGGGACAGGCTTTCCAGGCCACACCGATGACCCCAGTGGCTCACCATGTGGCACACCTCCAAACCAGTCTTCACAGACGAAGAAGCTGGGCGCTCTGGCCTGGCCTGCACACCCCGCAAGTCCTCCCCTAACCCTCGGTGGTCTAAGTGCCCCTTCCTCGGCCCCACGCGGCCACCTGCCCTGGCCCACATCCCGCCTACCTTCAGTGTCCCCCTGCAGCTGGAGCAGCATCTCCTGGAGTGCGCCACTGTCCTGATGTGTCTCCACACCCTCTCCTCTTCCCTCTCCCGCGTGTCCCTCGGCCAGAATTCCTCCCTCTCCCTCAGAACGTACTCCAGATCCCTTCTTTACTCCCCCTTCCTACCCTCTGGTGCTTACCTTTGGTAGCACCCACGGCTTCTCCAGCTTGGGACCCCTCTGCCGTTCTCAGACTTCCATCTTTCCCTTGGCTCTTCTCCCAGCCACTGTGTCCCCTGCGGTCCCCGTGCTTCCAGAGATGCGGCCACCACCATTCTCTTTCGTCTCCTTTGGCTACAAATCTGTTTGGAAAGGTCTCTGCTATTTGGTCCTATTACTGCTTAACCCATTTTGCTGTGGGACGTCCCCAGAGTCACTGAAAGTTTGGCTTCTGGCTTAGGGTCTCCCTCCTTCCCTACCTCTCAGTCCCAATAGTCAATTTCCCCGGCTTCTTACTGTTCACTGTGGCAGGTGTGTTGCACTCCCTGTCCTGGACCTTATCACATCCCGGGGCTACCGAGCTTAGAGCTGCCCTTTGCCACCTGGCACACGAGCCTCCCCACCGGCCCTCGACAGGACAGGCACCTGGGTTTCACGACCCTACCCCCTGCCCCTACCGGTCTGCACCTGAGCTGTCCACTCCACCTGTCTGGCAGGGAATCCCAAGGCCGGGCCAGCACTGCCATCTGTGCTCTCAGCCCGTGGGGGGTGGAGGGGGATGGGGGGGGGGGGGGGGGGGGGGGGTGTTCTGCTCTGAAAGCACCCGTCCACACGCACAGGAGAAACGCTCCCGGGTTGGGCCCTTCAGGCCAGATCTTGGGTCTCTCTCTGGTCCATGAACTTATGTCATCATCTGGTCTCCTGACGCCTCTCAGCCCATTTGGGTCCCCTTCTGTGGGCTTTAAACAACTAAGCAACGGCCTCTGGTCCCTGGTGGGGTCCACAGACGGGTCCTGGGGTGCGCGCTGAGGTCCACTTGGGGTCATCAGTTGGGTCCCCGGTGGGATCTGTGGAGGGGCCACTGGTGTGGGGTGTGGTAGGATGCATAGTGGGGTACGCATCAGTGGGGTCCAGTGGGGTCCATGGTGGGGTGCGCATGGGTTCTACCGCGGGGTCATCGGTGGAGTCCGCGGAGGGGTGCGCAGTGGGGTGCACGGTGGGGTCTGCGGAGGGGTGCATAGTGGGGCGTGCAGTGGGATGCATAGTGGGGTGCGCGGTGAAGTCCGCGGTGGTTTCTGCAGTGAGGTCCGTGGAGGGGTGCGCCGTGGGGTCCGCGGAGGGGTGCGCGGTGGGGTGCACGGTGGAGTGCATTGTGGGGTGCGCGGTGGGGACAGCAGAGGGGTGCACAGTGGGGCGCGCGGGGGGGTGCGGGGGGGGGGCCGGGGGGGGGTCCGCGGAGGGGTGCACAGTGGGGTGGGCGGTGGAGTGCATAATGGGGTGCGAGGTGGAGTACGGGGAGGGGTGCATAGTGGGGTGCGCGGTGGGGCTCGGGGAGGGCTGCATAGTGGCGTGCACGGTGGGGTCCGCGGAGGGGTGCACCGTGGGGTGCACGGTGGGGTCCGCGGTGGGGTGCATAATGAGGTGCGCGGTGGAGTCCGGGGAGGGGAGCACAGTGGGGTGCGCGGTGAGCCCCCGCTCCGGTTCCCGTCGCCTCTGCCGCCACCTCAGCTGCCCGGCAAGACACGAGCCGTGAGAGCGGCGCGCCCGCCCCCCGACCGTCCCCCGGCCGGCTCTGTGCAAGCACTAGTGTCGCCCGCCGTGTGCACCCGGCAGGGCCCCGCGGGGCCGCAGCCGCGACCCAGGCAGTCAGCGCGCTGCGGCCTCTCCTGCCCTCGCGCCTTGGAGACCCGGGCCGCCGCGCACCGCCCGCCCCCGCCTCCCCGCTCGCCCCCGCCCCCTCCCGAGACTCTCGCGAGACCCGCGGCCGCCCGCGCGCGCCGCCCCGTGAGCGCCTCGCACTTCTCGCGAGGCTGCGGTAGGGCCGGCCCGACATGGCGGAAGGTAGGCTGTGCGGGGGGCGCGCGGGACGGCGCTGGGCGGAGCGGGCGCTGCGGGACGGGCGACGCGGCGCTGAGGGGGCCGGCCGGGCGTGGTCGCACCGGGCGCGGCGGGTGTCGGGGGCGCGCGGCGGGTGTCGGGGGGCGCGCGGCGGGCCGGGGTTCTGAGCGGGGCTCCCGGGGCGACGCCCCTCGGGCGCCCCCGACCCCCGCGGGCCACGGCGGCTGCGGAGCCGGGTCCGGGCCGTGTGGCTGGGCGCGCCCGTGGGAGTGCGCGGGGCGCCCCTGGGGACCGGCCGCGCTGGCGGGGTCGCCCGCTGCTCGGAAACCGAAACTGCTGTCCCGGCACGTCCGGCGTCCGGCCTCCCGGACGCTGCCCCCAGGACGGCGGGGGTGCGGGTGCGGGCGTGGCCGGAGTCGTCCGCGTCCTGCTCTCGCGCTCTCCCGGGGCGCCGTTCGGGACCCTGCGGGCGGAGGCGCTGCGGCCTCTCGGGCCCTGCCCCCCGCGCACCGCGGGCCGGCGTCCGCGCTGTGGGGGCGGATTGTGCGGGGGGAGGGAGGGCAGGCGGCGGCGCGGGGTCCTGCGGCGGCTGCCGCGCCGCCCCGCTGTTGAGGGAAACGCGCCTGCTGTGACCCGGTGCCCTTCGAGCGGCCGCAGGGCGCTGGTCACGACCTGCCCCAGCGGGGCCTGAGCCCGTCGGGGCGGCCCCGACGGCGCGCAGGCCTCCCACCCGGGCCTTGGGCTCGGCGACGCGCTGGTGAAGCCGGCCTGCCTTGCCCTGCGCTCACGCGGGTCTGACGCCGAGATCCCGGGCACGGCCGGCGCCGGCACCGGCACCCCGCTGGCACCCCGCTTTGGGCTCGGTCCTCCCCTCGTTAGACGCCCTGGTCGGGGGCGCAGAGGGACATCGCGTGAACGCAGAGAGGAGTAAAAGGGACGGAAGCAGCAGCTCGTTTGGGGGCAGATCGGTGCCGGAGCAGCGAGGAAGGGCGGGAGGGAGGGGAGCAGGAGGGCCTCCCGGGAGGCCCGGGGTCTAACCCTGTGCGCTGGAAGGGGCGGGAGTGACCGGGCTGGGAATGGCGCGGCGGCCGGGGGTCGCTCAGCACTCCTGCTCCGCACCTGCTTGCCCCGCGGTCGGCTTGCAGGCCGGAGGACCTCGCGCAGGCTGCGGGTGCCTGGACACGCGGCCAGGGTCGCCCTGGGACACGCGCACCCCGGCGCCCGGGTGCCTGCAACGACACCTCCTGGAGGATTCCACCGCCAAGAGGTCATGGATGGGCGCGCCCACCGGGGAGGTTCCCGCCGGGCGGCTTTTCTGCGCCTGTTCTGTGTTTCAGTTTCCCGGCCCGAGGTTTCAGGTTTGGGGAAACAGTGTTGCCAAACGTCGGGAAGCCTTGAGTGGGGCGGGGAGGGTGCTGGGGGGAGGCAGGCAAGGGTAGCTGAGAAGTCATGCTGCCGGCGCTGCAGTCCGTTTGTCAGGGCCGCTCCGCCCGTTCTGAAATCCCCGCGGACAGACAGACCAGTCGCCGAAAGCTGGGCCCGGGAGCAGCGGGTCCGTCTACGAGCGTGCGCTGTGCGGACCTGCTGCTGGTGATTTTGCGTGCGGTGCCAGGGCGCGAGGGTGTGGGAAGCAGTGCCTGGGAGTACCGTAGAGCACGAAGAGACCGGTGCGCAGGTCCCCTCTTAGGGACTCCTTTAGAACTCTGCGTTTTCTTCCTTCTTTCCATTCGTGGCTGGTGGTTTGACCCAATGTATTTAGCTTAAAATCTGTCCTGAATTAATTTCTACCCTACATGTGCAGCTCTCCTACTAATTTAAAATTGCTTCATCACTCAAAAAAAGTCCTTCCTACTCGGACTTCCTGCTTTTCCCTTTTCTCCTTGCTTTTGCTTCGTCACCACCCACTTTTACAGTTCCAGCGTTCCCTCTATGACAGGGAGGAGAGCACATCTCCTTTACTCTTCTCAGCACGCTCACCCCACACACACTCTCCGCTCCTGTGGGTCTCTGTGATCTTAAAAATACATTCCAAAGCCTTCCAGGGACCCTCAAGTCCCAGCGGGATCTGACCCCTGCTTAACCGTGTGGCCGTGCCGCCTGCTTCTCTCCCGTGTCGCCTGCTTCTCTCCCGTCTCCGTGCTTTTGCCACACTAACTTCCTTGCTGTCCCACGTGCACTCCCAGCCCATCCACCTCTCTGTCTGTCCCTGTGGCGCCTTGGCCTGGAACAGTCTCTTGAGGTCTCTACTTGCTGCTAAGTGGCTCATTTGAGTGTCTTTTTAGTTCTCACCAGCTTTAGAGATGTTCCTAATTATTTTTTAAATTCTTTTATTGTAATGTAAACCCCACGAGGGTGGAGACTTCCGTTTTGTTCAGTGCTGTGTACCCCAGCTTGGAATCATACCTATGGTGAAGGAATGGCTGCGTTTACTGGGCGTCATTTACCAGACATGAAGCAAAGTAGCCTGGATACTCCTCAGTCTCTGGTCGGGTGCGCTGGCAGGACTGGCTGTTCTTGTGTTCTGAATAACGTTAGCCTCCTGCGACTCCCCAACCTGCTTTTCGTCCTGCCTGTTTTAGTCTTAGCAATCCAAGTAGAATGCTTGAGAGCTCTTCTGACTTCAGACGAGGATTTGAATCCGAGTCCCGCCAAGCTGTTAGCCCGGCAAGCCGGTTAATTGCTCTCCGTCTCCATTTCCTCAGCTTTAGAAGAGGGGGTCCTCTCTGTCTCAGACGTGGCTGAGGGGGCGTCAGAAGAAATGGTGCACAAAGAACACTGCCAGCGCAGTGCCTGGCGTTCTGACCCTGGCCTGTGCTCTTTTCTTCGTCCCCTCTTCAGCTCTGATCTCCTTCCCTTCCTCAGTAAAATGAAGGTGAAAACTGGAAAAGATGTAATGGGTTACTAAACAGAAAATTGATCATGGACTTTTATTAGCTTACTGGAATTTGGTGAGGAAAAGACTTTGGACAATTCAAATACTAGGTGAGTACATTTCATATTCTGGACAATCACTGGCTGATACAGTAGCCACTAGCCCCATAGGGCTACTTTCCTTTAAATTAAGTAAAATTAAAAATTCAGTTCTGAGGCACCTGGGTGGCTCAGTGGGTTAAAGCCTTTGCCTTCAGCTCAGTTCATGATCCTAGGGTCCCGGGATCGAGCCCTGCATTGGGCTGTCTGCTCCACAGGGAGCCTGCTCTCCATGCCCCCCTTCCTGCCTCTCTGCCTACTTGTGATCTCTCTCTGTCAAATACATAAAATAAAAAGCTTCAAAAAAAAATTCAGTTTGTGTGGTCACAGTTGCTCAGTTTCAGTTGCTTTGTAGCTGTGTGCTTGGTGATCCCCTTCCTAGCACACAGCCCAGATGAACAGCACTTGCATCATTGCAGAAAGTGCTGTTGGATAACACTCCTCCAGAAAGTGCTTTGTCAGTACAAGCTGGTAGAAGGAGGGAAAGGAAAGTTTGCTCTCTTTTCAGTTTTCAGATTTATTCCTTTCCTTATTATTTTACTCATTCAGTGAATATCTGTCCCATACTTTGTTTTGGTCTTGTTTGTTCTTTCTTTCTTTCTTTCTTTCTTTCTTTCTTTCTTTCATTCATTAACATCTAAGGTATCATTTGTTTTAGGGGGACAGGTCTGGGATTCATCATGTCCCAGGCTTTTGACAATTATGCATTCCCTGGAAATCTCTTGACCACTATTCTTTCATAAGCATTGCTTCCTTTTTTCTGCCATTCCCTTTTTTCACTTCTGTCACCTGTGGCACCTGTTCACTTTCTCCTTGAGGATTTTCTTTTCCCCCCACGAAGAGAGAAGGTTTATCAGTCCACTGCAGTGACTACGGGTATGTGGGAAGAGAGGTGCAGGGTTCTGTCACTGGAAAGGCAAGTGAGAATACCCAAGTGTTAGTGTCCTGTTGAATCGGAGTAGGCCAAGGGTCTGGGGTATTTAAGCTCTGTCTTGTGAGGCGCTGTGGGGTGGAGGATGGGATGAGCATGGAGTGGGAAGAGGGAGAAGTGGTGGTTCAGACAGAGGAGCCAGACCTCGAGCTTCTTCACAGGAGAGTCTGCAGTGTGGGAGGGGAGGTGAAAGCATGTGTAAGAAACTACTGTAAGGCAGAAGGTGAAAAATGCTAGAAGTTACTTTGAAAATTCAGATGGGAAGAGATATTTTAGGAAAGTGGTAGGGAGTATGTTTTGGGTAGTCAGGGAAGGTCTTTGCTGCAGGTAATAGCATTTGACCTGTGATTCGGAAAATCGACCTCTTTTGGACACGGGGAGATGGTAGTGAGAAGAGGTCACTTCTTTATGGAAGGAATAGTGGGATACGAGGTTGGAAAAGTATGTTAAGGGGCAGATAATGAACGGATTGATAAGGTGTTTGGATTTTACGCTGTGGGCTGTCGAGTGAGGCTGCTGAGTGATACCCGCCAAGGTTGTGACAGACTAGAATCGTTGGTGGCATGCGGGTAGGACTGCAGTGCAGAGGACGGATCTGGGAGGACTGTCACAGTTGGTGATGAGTTTTTTTGGTAAGGAGCTTTGGGCTGGTGACCGATAGGAGCAGGACTTACAGAAGGTATGAAAGATGGGACTTTTGAAGCTTGTTTACATGTTGACAGGAGATAGCAAAGATGACTCAAGGGTTCTGCATCTGCATGACTCAGATAATGGCTGGGAGGAGGAGGAACAGATTCGAGAACAACTATCTCGACCTCCTTTGTGGGTATAGTTTGCCGTGTCCAGTGGTTGTGTCTTAGCCAGCGCGGTTAGAAGCATTTCCAGTCAGACTGGCCTGTGGGTAAAAATTAGCTAGTTAACTAATATTTATTGATGATCTCTTATGAAACCAGCCCTATGATCAGGGCTACACATAGTGAGGTTTGGAAGGAAGTTTGTCATGCCACTGACTTACAGACAAGACTTCACAGAGTTGGGCTCCGTTCAGGAAAGTGTCTTTCATTTCTCTTAAGTGGAAGCTGCTATGCCAGGGGTGACAGAG